TGTGAATGAGGCAAAGTCTGTCCTCAAAGTCTGAAGCTCACCCATTTTGTAGCTGTTCTTTTCCTCACAATATCCCCATTTTCACTCTGCCAAGCATACCACCTCCCATACTAATACTTGCTTTCAAATCATGAACTATCTTTCATTGGAAATTGAACATAAATAAATAGGTCACCCCTGTCATAAGCATTTACATGCTAAATTTGTCTCTCAGTGTCACATGGAAGGCTTTACCCTTCACCCCTGGTGAAATACATACATATATATATTTTACATTAGCAAGATACATGGGATGGTAGTAAAAGCAGAGACCCTTCCCGTGGTTCCTAAAGAATCACACCATAGAAGTGGCTAAGGAAGTCTCCATTATGATAAAACAAGGGTTAGACTATACCAGGTCTTAATGAGAGCAAATATCATCTGTAAGGAAGGAATGAGCAGGCACCTGAAGGAAAATAAATTCTGATGTAAAGAAGGTTTGTCTTCAGTGCTCCCCCTGCTCCATTTCTCTTTCAAACATCAGTTTCTCTGACTTGGAACCTCAAACCCCATATGCTGTCCTTGGGGTAACTGTCCAGTGCTTCACCTGCATGCAACCATTATTCTCCAGGCCATTCCACATGTGTTTTTCCTCTTTATCAAAACTTATTTGTTCTGTGTCCCATTTTACCAATGTGCTTTCCATGCTAGGTCCCATGAACTATAACTTGATCACCATTGTTGTCAATAGGATTCCGGGATATAAGATGGGGAGAGTATCTTAAGTGAGATAGGGAGTCTCACGTTGAGAATACCGACTTTTAGGAGAGCAGAAAGATATTTGGTGAGGAAGCTTATAGGCAAGAAGCTGGAAGTATCCTCGAGTCCGTCTGTAAGTATTTTCTGTATGTTCTCACGGTGCTGAGGCAGGCCTTGTTGGGGAGACAACTCAACATGATGATTATGGCCTCGAGGAATTTGCAGTTAAGCAGGGTGGGATGGGGAATCCAGGATGCCAAGCACATGCATTCACCACTGAAATAGTGGTATTTTATTATGGTAGGTATTATCATGGGACTTGAAGGCACCAGGGCTCAGAAAAGTCAACTATTTTCCCCAACTTCTATATAAATTGTGAGTGTGGAGTCAGGGTTTAGATTCACATCTGGTTGGCTTCTGAAGCTTACACTCTTCCCAGCATTCCATACTCTTATGGAAACAAAAGCCAAGAGGAGAGATAAAGGAGAGAGTGCTGGAATGCCATGTAGGACTGATGTGGACTGCAATGGGTAGCTTAAATAATGTAATCAGCCCAGGGCCGAGAGAAAAGAGGAAACCTTTTAGGAAAACTAGGAAGTGATGTTCCAGTAAGTTCTGAAGCCATGAAGAACAACATATTTATTCCATAGTAGCAGAAAGAAGGAGATATTTTTAGGTAGAGTTTAAGGAGAGGCTTAGGAGTAGGAAGAAAAGTGTGCTGCTGGCGGCCAAAGCCAGAGACTTAATTCAAGAAATGAAAATTATTCCTTGTGGGGCGCCTTCTCTTTTGCCTCATCCTAATTCAACAGAGGGAGGGAGACCCACCGCAGGAGAGGGTTCCCTCTCAGGGCCAGGATCTGAACAAACCCAGCTTCCTCACAGTCCTGCCCGGAGCCACAGCCTCAGGAGGATGTTCAGGGTCCCCAGAGCAAGGGGCCCTTTCTCAGAAATCCTAATGGCGCAGGTTGCGAACTTCTGGGAGGAAGGTGAGGGAGCCAGGTGGTTCCGTTTTCTTTTTGAAATCCTGGCCAGTTTCAATTTACATAACACAGCTTAACCTACAGGGACAGGAGCCAGGAGGCAGGTCCTGTCCCTTATTTTCCTCTCCAAGACACAGAAACCTTTATTTTCTCCCTATTCCGCAAACCAGTGCTGTTAAATAATATTGGATAATTGCACCTGTCGTCCTCTCCATATTGTGCTGAGGAAAAATAATTGCTGGTTTTCTGCTCTGCAGTTTAGCTGTGACTCCGTCATTTGACTCCGAGCATGTCATTTTCTCCCATTTTATACTGTGTATAGTCGAGCTCTGTGAAAGGACTCACCCATAGCGGCCCCGCGTGTGTGAGTGGGCGCGGGCCTCATTCAGCAACGATTTCTAATTTATACAGCATTGAAAATCCACAGCTATAAATAAACAGTTCTGGCTGGCTTGGCTGCCTACTCAAATGCTTTATTTAAAAAAAAAAAAAAAAAAAGAAGAAGAAGAACTGCCAACTGCATGAGAAGAGCAATATCTGGATGTAAATTCTGGTTTCTGACTTTTGGCCCTCTGAGAGGGATAGCAGGTTAGGGATGGGAGACCTGGCCTCACCTCACTCCTTCCTCCCTCCTCCCCCAGCACGCCCTCCTCCCTCCCCTCCCCCACACACACTCTCCCTGTGCAGGCACAACGTGTTTGGGGATTATTACAGTATATGAAACTGACTTCCTGTTATGACAAGTATTGCGAGGAGGTGCAGAGGAGCTGGAAATAGCTTGAGAAATGTATGACTCTCCTGGGGGATGGGTGGGTAGAGCTAATGTTTTGTTTAGGCAAACAAGACAAATCTCCTCAAATTCAAAATTAGCGTCACATGTGAGACCGGCCTCCAGAACATACACATGGGGATGGAGCAGTGAGGTCCCTGAAGCAGGGGGGGTCGCTCCTCCCTCTACCAGCATGCATGGGTGAGAGTTTCCACCAAGTTAGGGTCCCCTGTCCTCTTTTATTTTTTTATCCAGCCTTGCAGATATACTTACATTTTTGCTTTTTTAAATAAAGGCTTTTGCATAACCATTTATTGCTTTGCTCGGGGATAAAAAGGAAGATTGGCTCAGGAATCAACCATCTGTGTGGCCTTGGCCCTGTCTTTTCCCTTCTCTGAACCTAGTGCTGAACTGGAATCAGCTTGTACAGGCTTACAAGGACCAACTGGTGGTTCACATCTCTTCCCAACTCTATATTCAGTGACCTGTTGACAGCTTGGAAAAGGCCATGGCAGAGTATTTACACCAGGAAAATGGGCAAACACTATAAATGAGAACCTTAAATTTTTTTTCCAGATAGTTGTGTGTTTTTTCTTTAAGAATAGTTTACTGATTTCTAGAGTAAGAGAAAGGAAGAGGGAGAGAGACATTGATGTAAGAGCACAACATCAATTGACTGCCTCCTGCATACCCCCCACTGGCGATGGAGCCTCAAACGCCTGGATTATGCCTTTGACTGGGAATTAAACTGGCAACCTCGTGATGCACAGGGCAACAGCCAACCAACTGAGCCACACTAGCCAGGCCTAACGAGTTGATTTTAAAACATGTATCAGGATACCAATATCAGAAACTCAGTATATTCACTTGTAAAATGAGAACAATAATGCATTTTCTACTTAAGATTTTTGTGAGGATAAAATGAGATCACAGAGGTGAGTATGGCTATAAATTACATGACATGATACAAATATTATTGCAGGATATATGCACCCCTGTTCACAATTTACAAAAGCTAAGATATGGAAACAGCCTAAGTGCCCATCTGCAGATGAGTGGTTTAGAAAACTGTGGTACATCTACACAATGGAATACTACACTGCTGTAAAAAAGAAGGAATTCTTACCATTTGCAACAGCATGGATGGAACTGGAGAGTATTATGCTAAATGAAATAAGTCAGTCAGTGAAAGATAAATACCACATGATCTCACTCATTTGTGGAATATAAAGATCATTATAAACTGATGAATAAAAGTAGATGCAGAAGCAAAGAAGCATCAAACAGACTGTCAAACTACAGTGGGAAGGTAGGGGAGGGCTGTGGGAGGGGGAGGTAAGATATCAACTGAAGGACTTATATGAATACATATAGGCTTAACCAATTGATACTCGGGGGAGAGACGGTGAGGGCATGTGCCGGGGGATAGGGAAGACTAGGGGGAGGGGGAGTTGTCAATGGGGAAAAAAAGGATACATATGTATTACTATTTGTAATTTTTTAAACAATAAAAATAAAATTAAAATATATATTATTGCTGGTATGTAATCATTTCTATATATATATATTTTTTACATATTAATAGCTTAACACAGCCTGATATGGGCACTGCATACCTTTTAATGAATATTTAATCAATATTCTTCATGGGTGTTTTTTTGCCATTCTTTTTCAAAGCTACAGCAGCTCCAAGAAATCATGTGTGCTTGTGTATGTGCTTAATAGGAAATGAATCTGAGATAGTTCTGGTGTTGGAATAGATACTGTACAATGGCCAGTCATGTAGCAATCAAGGCTTACTTTGGTTCTAGGGACAGTAAATGAAAATTTGCAGGCTCGCCGAAACCAGTTTGGCTCAGTGGTAGAGCATCGGTCTGCGGACTGAAAGGTCCCAGGTTTGATTCCGGTCAGGGGCATGTACGTTGGTTGTGGGCACATCCCCGGTGGGGGGTGTGCAAGAGGCACCTGGTCGATGTTTTTCTCTCATCGACGTTTCTAGCTCTCTATCTCTCCCCCTTCCTCTCTGTAAAAAATCAATAAAATATATTTTTAAAAAATCTTAAAAAAAAAAGAAGAAAAAGAAAAAAGAAAAGAAAAGAATATCTGCAGGCTCATTCCAGCCAAGAGCTTGCTATGACTGTTAGAAGTATGCAGCCAGAGTCATCTTTTGGGTGTGGAAAATTTGGGTGATCCCTTGCAGGCTTCAGATTTGGGGAATTTCCACTGTGCCAACTGCTTCCGGGCTCTTGCTGAGACCAGGTGCTTGGAGCAGTCAAGAAGCAGCAGGTATAGGAAAAGAGTGGGTGTCCCAGCTCAATCCAGAAGGATTTGAGGCTCCTATTTACATGAGAGTAGAGGAGTAGGAATCAGGCAGGTTTCCTGGTGTCTGTCCTAGTCTTCCCTTATACTGCTGACTTAGTGGTATAGTCTGCTCTCTTCCCCAGCCCTGCAAGACCACTCTAGGTATTTTTGAGGCATTTTTAGAGTCGGAACAGATATTGCACAATGGTCAGTTATGCAGCAATCAAGATTTAATTTGGTCCCAGATACAGTGTTACCAGGTTTTACCCATTTTCACCAAATTTCTTCTGTATCATGTTTGGTTGTAAAGCTCAAGTACTATTTATTCTGGTGCCCACACCCCAATGCCCCTGGGCCTTCGACACACCACTAGATTTGACTATCTTTACCCACCATGTATTTCTTTACAAAAATAGACCTGGAAAATTCCATTAGGAAAATCGAAGCAGGGTTCATGAATGTGCTTGCTGACAATCAGCTTTGTTAAACCATAAACTAACTTAGCAAAGTACTTTGTACCAAAGCAATCTCAGCAGTCCTCATAATTATATCACGTCCCACTTAGACTGTTCCTCAAGTAAAATGTACAACATTTATTTGACAAGTTAATCAATACTTGAATGAAAGAGGTTTTGACAATGTCATTTGTTCAGTGTTTAGATATGCCCTGAATGCTGCTCACATGGGGGAAAGATTTCCTAATATTTTTATAAGTGATTTTCTCATTGCCCCAAATAATTTGCCACTATACCATATCAGGTAGAATTTCCCTACACACCTGTCTAGATTGAGGGGGGGAAATAGATGAGAAATCCATGAAAATAACTAGTTATGAAAATGCTTGTTTTTAGGAAAGTTGGGATTATTAAAAACATGACACAGGATTGAAAGTTAAAAGATTTGGGAGACAAAAGCTCCTGACTCAGTTCTGACACTAACTCTGGCCTCATGCAGGTAACTTCTCATCTACATCCTCGGCAACCTCCTCTGTAAAGTGAAGATTTTGGATGATCCTAAATTCTTTCTCTGTCTAAACATTCTCTGACTCTGAGTTTATGAGTTTCTTTGGCTTTTGGGCAGATTTTGACCACAGACCATACTCTACAGAGTTCAGACAAAGGTCACAAATTCTGAGACAGCAGGATTTAATTTTGTATGGCCTTTTAAAACCCAAGAGTCCTTAGATTGAGCTACCTTCATACCCTATTCTTAATTTAAATATTGTTTTATGTCCTTTTTACTTTCCTATGTTTCTCTACCACCTCCCTACACCAAAAAGAAAAATAAAATCCACATAAACAAAACAAAAAAATAAAAAAAATAAAACCAAAAAGATGGAAAAAGAACACCCTCTTGTGCTTTCTTTCTTTTTCTTGGAAAACAGCATACAATCACTTCTTCTTCTTTGGCTGCCTCATGTCACCTGTGCAAACAAGAACAGAGAGAGACTTCAGACTTCAGGGTTTCCCTGGTGGGTTCTTATGTAGGTTGACATTCACCCTGACTTCAGGCAGTGGAAAGTCAAGGACTTTTACTAAGGCAAAAGGATGTCCTTCAAGGAGTTCTGAAAACATACCACCACTATCAAAACAGCAAGAAACCTCTCTGCTGTCCCCGTTGGTGTTTAGCTCATAGCCAGCCAGTTGACCAATGATGCCCTTGGACTTCATGTGGTTTTGTATATCTAACATGAGCCAATGATTGCTGTTGCTTTTGGCCACATGTTCCCAAAGCTATACACACTCCATCAACAAACTTGGAGGCTTTACATATGGAGACAAAGAGACCACATCAAATTAGAGAGGAAATGAAAGAGTGAATATTCACCTAATTAGGGGTCATTTTGTGACCTCTCACTAAATCAACTTATCAACCGGGGAAGAAAAGTACTTACATATTGATTAGTTTTTAATAAGCTCACAAAAGTTCTTTATTCAGCTGAAATTATAGCCTTAGACTACTAGAATGACTTCCATTTACCTCCATATTTAATGATCATAAATCTTTGCATAAACTTTGAAACTTTACTAACTCATTATCCTGTCTATTGGTAAATGCTACCAATCCTACTTTGAAAACTTTTCAACTCAGTCTCTGCTTGTTCCTTCTGGAAGTTAGAGCCCTGTTAGATCTGGTTCTGTGGTACCATAGCAGCCTCATGCTTCTTATTTCAGGCTTTAAACCCTGACTCCCCCCAATCCCTTAAATTATATCCTTAGCAGTAATCTCTAAATCTTTTCCTAATTTATGTCATTGGAACACCCCTTCTCAGAGGCTTTAGTAACTGATAACTTGAAGTCTTGCTATGGCCTGGTCATCACACTGATTTTCTAGGACAGCTAGCTCCTAATCACAACAGCTGTCATGGCCATCCGTGCATTGGTGTCTCTCCACATTCTTAAGGACAGTCCTCGTCCTTGTTCTTGTCATCCTCATCAGTTCAGACTGCCTCCAGTCACTCCAGCAGTCTTACAAATTTATCCAGCTTTACAGGGTTCCTGTTCTTCTCATTTATGCTTCCACTTACTATTTATTTTTTATGAGAATTCTCTCCTCCCCAATTAGGTTATCTATATTAAGTCTATAAGTACAAATACCATCTCTTTTCTGAAATATATACTTTGGGCTGTTAATGAATAATTTTTCAACTAAATAACACATTTATTTCCTCAGGTTCAAGGGCTTGGCCAATATAAACTTTTCAAATTTGTTCCCCTTGTAGTCATTCTGAGGGCTCCTAAAGCTTTCATTACCCATATTGTTTACCAACCCCCAGTGCTTTGAGTCTAACTATAATCATAACCTCACTCCCTCAACCCCAGGTGCCAAGGATTGGAGACTCCATCTTTATTTAAGAAACAACAGAATATGAAGGTTTAGAGAGAAGCAGCAGAAGCAGGATTGGAAGTAGTTGTGGGAGTTCCTCTGAGAACAGGTGGCTCCTTGCACTGGATCAGAGTCTCCCACATCCAACTCCAAGCAGCTAGATGGAGCACTAAGGAATTCTCACATACCTACCACTGTGCTAGAGAAGGCATGGGCCCCCCTGAAAATATACCTGCATGGAGTTCCAATAGTCATTTCATTTTCTAGAGACTTACATGATGTGAATATAACAGAAACAATGTTTTATTTTTGTTTTACAAGTGAGGGTGGGCTCTTAGTTTTGAATTCTCATGAGGCTGAGCAGTTTCTAGACTTCTTCAGAATTCCTCTCGCACCATATTTCCATAGTTCCAGAGATAAGGAAACTGTTGACTTAATAATAGATCATATAATCTTACCCAAACAAAGTTCACAAAATTTATTTTAAACTCTGAATTCCCAACATAATTGGGAAATTATGTTGTTTGTTATCACCCTTTTCTTCATTTATGGGAGTTTTTCTGAGTGGAACAGTTCCTAATTTGTGGTTAGGGAGTTAGGTCCACTTTTGTCTTTAGTCCTTTCTTTATCCTCGTTATATAGTACCAAGAGTAGAGATATTTTAGGCCAAACATTAAATGTTCTTTTGCAAAATCCAAATATTTTCTGCTGGCATGGTAAAAAACAAACAAACAAACAAAAAAACATTCTTTTAATCAATATCACTATGTATATTATATATAATTACACATCTTATTATTTAAGTAGTCAGGACATGAGCTAAGTAAAAACATACTGTTCACAAAGATTTACACTAAGTGTCTAAAACCACAAAAGCTACTGCTAGACTTCAAATTAAAAATTTGAAGAATATTTGCCTAGTTTCAGCAGGTTGGCTTGGAAAAGGGCAAAATAGCAGATGGTTAGAGGGATATGAGGTGTTAGAGGAATGAGATTTGAGCACCAATGAGTACAGTCACAGTGCAAAAGTAGCAGGAAGTAGACGGAGTTGAGGATGGCTGGAGAAACCTTGAAGGTAAAGAGGCAGAGGAAGAGGGATAAGGAATAATCTAGAGTAGACTATTTAGGGGAAAAAAGTTAGGACAAGAAAGACAAAAAAAGCTTTAGAAATACTTAAAGAGTAATGTCATGATACGATCCTTTTGTTATGAAATGATCAGGGACAACATGCAAGGCAGTCTTTATAAATTATTTCTTTATGGATAAAACCAAGAAGGTAGACTAGATGGCTTTTAAACAGCTTTTAACAATGAAAATCTCCTTTAAGACAAACAAGTAAACAAAAAACAACAAATTGCTCTAGTAGGGGTGTCGAACTCAATCAGAGAAGGGGCCAAAATCTAAAATCCAGCCTAAATCGCGGGCCAAATGGTTTACTGAACAGTCATAAACTGTCATTGTGATGGAAACGCAGCGGAGTGCAGTGATGACAGCGCGGTGCGGGCCACATTGCAAGGCCTGGCGGGACGGATTTGGCCCGCGGGCCTTGTGTTTGACACATGTGCTCTAGAGCAAAGAGTATTAAAGGAAGGTTTTAATGTCATTCTGCCCAAGATACTATTACCCTGTCACTTGGCCAGATTGAACTTTTCATCTCCTAAACTTTCCTTAGGAGGGGAAGGATCTATGGTCTCAGGCCTCAGAACATATCCCTCATGGATGTAAGGAGAGTGGCCATGGGCTTCCAAACAAAAATGGCAGGTCTCCCATATGTAGTAGGTGTGGCCAGAGCAGCAGTCAACTTATTGTCCAGGACTCTCAATTGGGCTATACTGGCCTCAGGATTTCAGAAACAGAGATTCCAAGAATTCTAGCTTGAATTGCTTGTTCTCCTATTTCACTCATTAAGTTCTTCAGGAACTGCACCATCTCTGTCAATTTGCATTCAGTTAGGTGGTTGTCACTTTTCATCGTCTTGCCTGGGGGAATTGGTAATTTATGAAAAAAATAGAAGGGGGTAATCGGAACGTCAACATAGACAAGAAGTTTTCTGATATTTTTCTGGAGGAGAATGAGATTAACTGCAATAGTGACTAACTGTATGTGCCAGGCCCTGTTCTTGGCCCTTGACACTACCCAAGTCATTTAGAGTTCTCCAGGCTCCTAGGAGGTGAGTACTAATATTGGCTTCATGATGCTCAAGTGAAAACTGAAACAAAATTACATCAAGTCTTTTTGCAGTGTTACACATCTGTGAGTGGTAAAAACAAAATAGGAACCCATGCAGTCTGACACAGAACTTTTCCCCTAACCACTGCTTCCCATCACGTCACCAATGCACTCCTTTGAATTTCTGTTCTCATTCAAGGAATCTCAGACTGCGGAAGGATATTAGACAGTAGGGTTAACCCTGGATTTGAACAGAGTAGATCCAGAACAGAAGATTTGGAGAGGAACCCAAGATAGAGGATCCACATAATTGACTGTCCAAGCATAGACAATATTATACTATGTGCCCGTTGGCAGAGCAGGCATTAGCCGGAACCCAACTGAGATGTGCAGCTGCCCTAGTTAGAGGTAATCTAATGGTGTTGACACAAGTCATATAGTTGAGGGAAGCCTTAGAGTGTTTTAAGCCCAGTAGGACATGAGAACATGTGTTTGCATAGATAGTTTAGTTTTAGACAATTTAAAAGTGTTCACTGCCATTGGAATTTTAAGTAATCTACTCTCTTAATGTCTACTCAACCTTTTGTAATTAAGATCTGTTCAGAATTTAACACATTATGATCCTATTCTGATGCCATATAGCATGAGTGAGTTTTCACTCATTCGATTTTTAAGGAGTTGGAAATCTAGAGAGAGGAGAGTCATAGTAGTCTCTATCCACTTACAATAGTTTATCCCTCATATAAACATTCACATATGCACATGTAAATGAAGGTCCACATAGTGATGCTGGCCTGTTTGCTCAGTGGGACTTAATTGTAATGAAAAAATGGATCTAGTATTTAAACAACAAGGCTTATTAAAAAGAGCTTGGTTTTGAAAATAATGACTCAATATTAAATATTGTGAAAATTTTGTTTTTTAATTCAATGGATGTTTCAAAGTCTCTGTTTAACAATTTAAAAATCAATCATTATTGATCTAAATACTTTTTATTAAAAAAAGTTATTGTTGCCAAAATCAGTTTGGCTCAGTGGTAGAGCGTCGGTCTGCAGACTGAAAGGTCCCAGGTTCGATTCTGGTCAAGGGCATGTACATTGGTTGCGGGCACATCCTCGGTAGGAGGTGTGCAAGAGGCAGCTGGTCGATGATTCTTTCTCATCGACATTTCTAGCTCTCTATCCCTCTCTCCTCCTCTCTGTAAAAAATCAATAAAATATATATTTTTTAAAAAGTTATTGTTTTCTACGCTCAATTTTTTGTCTGTACATTTTTATCTGTCAAATTTTATATGGATTTGTTTCTTTCTTCTTTTCTTTTATTTTTATAAAGATAGATTTGGGGAAGGCATCAGAAATCTTTATCCTGATTTTCAAGGAGCCAAAATAAGTTAGAATTAGATATCAACACATTTCAAATGTTAACACTTTTTTTTTTCTCCTGGAGTTTTCTGTGATTTAGAGTCTGATGTTGGGATTAACTTTTAGTATTCCATTTTTTAAGTGTTTTCAAGGAGGTTATTACCTTTGGCACTTTCTTAATCAGTTAAATTCTTCACAAGTAGAAAGCATGAACAAATTGCTTATCCAGGGTCCCAATATCCTCTCAAAAATATACTCTTTTGTACTGAGCCTTCTGAAACTGTTGTATTGTGTGTTTTTTTCATACACAGTTTATGTTTTCACACCAGTTCATAAATTGGGTGGAAGATGCCACTTCTGCCACTTCTATTTTGATATAACAGAATGGCATGTGGGTGTGTGAGGTGGGCCTTCCTTATATACAAAATCGGGGTAGAGTTCCTGTACTTCTCCTCAGGTGGGGAAAAAATCGTGGGTATTGTGCAATTTTGACTTTTTGGTGGTTAATTTTCCAACAAAATAATATTTTGGACATTGGGGTGGTGGGGAAAGCAGGGAGGAGAATGAAACTTTCCATTTTAAAATCAACTAAAGATTATTTTTTCTTATGAAGAAGCAACATGGTTCTACCGACCTATAATTAGAAAGCTTAGCTTGCTGACATATTCTCATTGCCCAAGACCCTGTCTAAATGAGAATTTCAATCTCAAGTACAGGATGTGATCTTTATCTGGTAAATGCTTCACTAAAGGTTGAAAAGCAACCTAATGCGAAAGGGATGGGAACTCATCCCGGAAGGCACTGCTGAGGTTGGAAGAGCTAAAAGGGTCATTTCCTTCAAACCAAACCAAAGCAAAACAAACAACAAAAAACCTTGACATTTAAACATATTGTATCCTTCAAGCCCTTACTTAAGGGAGGATGACCCTGAATTCATTTTTTTATGCCAGGCCTGGTGACACCTTGCTCTCTGGGCCCTAAATTCTCTACAGATCATGTCTAGCCTTAAAGGTTTATGGGAGAAGAGGAGATAATGTGATGGGATTCTTTGAGAAAGTATGAACTTCCCTAGGCTTTTCCTTTGCTTCTCTTGATAAGACCCATCTGAGTCTTTGGCACAAGCATCAAGGTCACTGCTTTCTTCTTTGAACTAATTTCTCTTGTTTCTAGGAGGAATGGAGAAAGGACAAGGAAGAAGAGTCTGCAGGTAAAATAGAAATAAACTGACCCCATTGTGAGTGGTTGAGCTTCTCTCCAAGTAGGTAGATGCTGGCAATACAGATGTAGCTGAGCGAAAAGAAGGCTGCTAGACCCACTGGGCTGAGTTTGGCAAACACAGGATATACCCACGTACCAGTCTCAGAGTAGATCCAAAGGACCCTGCAGAAAATGACAAGCCACAATGATTAGGACAGTAGAAAGAAAATATATTATTTATTTATTTATTTATTTATTATTTTCTTTATTGATTAAGGTATTACATATGTGTCCTTAACCCTCCATTGCCCTCCCCCACCTCCCCACTCATGCCCCCTAGTGTCTGTGTCCTTTGATTATGCTTATATACATGCATACAAGTCCTACAAGGTTGATCTCTTCCACCCCCCACACACACACTCCCCTTCCTTTTTCTGAGGTCTGATCAATGCTACTCGGTCTCTGGATCTGTTTTTTGTTCATCAGTTTATGTTGTTCAATATCAATGAATTCTAGAGCCCAGGCAAACAAACAAACAAAAAAACTCATAGGGGATATTACCCAATAGCTTGGGTGTACCAAAAACCTTCAGAAGTGAGTCTTTTCTAGATAGATTTGATTCAATGGGACATCCTATTTCATGAGCTGGGCTTGGCTATTTTACCTAATCTCTATCAAATTCAATTATGGTGAAAAAATGTGGGAAGACATTGAATATATCATTAGTCAAAGACAATATTTGAGAACATGAGTCATTCCTTTCCCTGAGAGGTATAACCTGCTGAAACATTGAGCCTACTCTCAGCCAGACAGGTGGGCTTTGTATTTCTGTACTTGAGTCATGTGTTGCTTTCTATTAGCTCTCCAAGCCTTTTGGGGTAGGAGAGACAAAGATTGAACATTATTGCTATAACACAATATGCCTTGATTTTCATTATCAACCTTGATTTTATTAATACTTCCTGGATATAGCCATGGGTAGAGTGTTAAGTAGGAATGGATGGAATTACAGAAGGCTCAGATTTTTGCTCATGTGAGGATAGAATATGTCATTTCTGTAAGACAAGAGAAGGAAAAAAAATGCTAGAAGAGGAGTTACAATGTCTTAAGTGAAGCCTAAAAATGCAGTTCTCTGGAAATCAACTGCACTGGAAGATGCCAAAGTCTGAAATAACTTTTAAAATTAAATGTGGGGAGGTTGCCCTCAGTGCAGTAGGCAGTGCGTCAGTCTCATAATTTAAATATGGGGAAGATGATGTATCAGCTACAGTTTATAACTGGTGTAGAGTACAGAATCTGGAACCAGACTTCCATGATTCAAATCCCAGTTCTGACACCTATTAGTCATGCTGCCTTCAACAATTTATTCAATCTCTGCCCCTGCCCTCATGTATAAAATTGGAGTACAAATATCATGCACCTTAGAAAGCCATAGTAAGGATTAAGGGAGTTAACACATAAAATAGAACATTGCCTGGCATATTGTAGTAATTTAATAACAGTTTAAAAACATCTTCTCTGGGGATCACACAGTGAGAGTCTTCTAAGAAACCTTTCTTTTGAGGCAGTTCATCTCTTATAACCTAGGATAGGCTAGGTAATGCTTCATAAACAATATTCAAGTTATCAAAAGGTGGAAGAATGAAATTCTGTGCTTAATTAAACTTTCAGAAACCCAAATGTCATCTTGTTTCAAAAGTTGAAGTTTGTCAAATGCATGTGGATGAGACAAGGACTAATATCAGGGCCAGGACTAGGATGAGGCATTAAATTTCAGGGGCTATCTCTGTGCATCAAAGGGTACAACAGAGTGAAAATGGAAGGTATGGAATGGGGAAAATATTGGCAAATCATATATCTGATAAGAAATTAATATCCAAAAGATATAAAAACTCCTATAACTCAACAAACAACCTAATTAAAAATGGACACGGGATTTGAATAGGCATTTCTCCAAAAAAGATATGTAAATGGATAACAATCACATAAAATGATTTGCATTTCCCCATAACATTATTAATCATTCGGTAAATGCAAATCAAAACTGCATGAGATACCATTTCATACCCATTAGAATGGTTACTATCAAAACAGCAGAAAATATTAAGTGTAGAGGATGTGGAGAAGCTAGAATCTTTGTGCACTATTGGTGAGTATGTAAAATGGTATAATTACTGTGGAAAACAATATGACAGCTACTCAAAAAAATTAAACATAGAATTACTGTATGATCCAGCAATTCTACTTCTGGATATATACCCAAAAGAGTTGAAAGCAAGGACTCAAATTGATACTTGTACACTTATGCTCCTAGCAGTATTATTCACAATAGCTAGAACATAGAAGAAACTCAGGAGTTCAACTATGGACAGATAAATAAAATGTGGTATATTTACACACAATGGAATATTTGGCCTTGAGAAAGAAGGAGATTCTGATATATCCTACAACATGAATGAAACTTGAGAATATTATGTGAAATAAGCCAGTCATAAATATTGTATGATTCCACTTGCGAGTCATCAACTTCATAGAGACACAAAACAGAATGGTGGTGGCCAGTGCCTGGGTGGGGGAGGGGAACTGTAAAGTTACTGTTTAATGGGGACAGAATTTTCAGTTTGGGAAGCAAAGAGTTCTGGAGATGGATGGAGGTAATGGCTGCACAACAATGAGAATGAACTTGATGCCACAACACTATATACATAAAAATGGTTTTAAAATAAAAAATTTTATGTTATGTGTATTTTACCACAAAAAAAAAAAAAAAAAAATTAAGGAGGCATCAGGCCTGGCAGTGTGGCTTGGTGGCTGAGTATCAACCTATGAACCAGAAGGTCATGGTTTGATTCCTGGAGGAAAGGAGTGCTGGGATGCACATCCACAGGATTCTACTGTTGGAAGGTATGAGGAACACAAAGTAGACAGCCCCAAGGAGCAAGGGTTAGGAGTTTGGGCTCAATGAGGACATCTGAATATATTCTAAACACTAGGATTAGTTCACTTTGTTTACTTTATATACTTAAAATTAGGGCTTGCTAGTTTCCATGCACATTTATATAAGATAGTCTATAAATAAGAACATTGCTCTACAGGCCTGGAAAGTTTCTGTTTATTTACTTCATTTTTGTTTCCTTCAGCATAAGGTTCTGGAAGGAAAGTTTCTGAAATAAGATAAGAAAGTCTGTACAAAGAAAGTTATAGGTGTAGTAACTGACAGTGAGAAAAGTAATGAGAATGCAAATAGAATATCAAGCAAGAATGCAGTTATTTAATGAAGGGCAGTTAGCAGAGAAGCCTGAGTGAGGAGATGTCACTCAGTTGGTATTGTTTCTTTATGGATTGCCTAAATATATGTTCAAAGGAGAGAGAAATGGAGAAGGAGAGAAGTTGGGAGAGAAAAGGAAGAGAAGGAGGAGAGGGGCATAAAAGAGAAAAGGGGAGGAAGAGAGGTGAGGAAGAAAGGGAGGGAAGGAGAGAGAGAGTGAGAGAGGGAGGGAGGTAAAGAAGGAAAGAGAGAAGAAAGAATGGAAGGAAGGAGGGAGGAAGGAGGAAAGGAAAGACAGGGAGGAAGGGAGGGAGAGAGAGAAGAAGGAAGGGAGGGAAGGAGGGAGGGTGCGAGGGAGGGAGGGAGGGAGGAAGAACTGGCTTAGCAAGTCCAAAACGGAATGCCATTGTTCTCTGTCTCAGTCAGTGTCAGCTTTTTTGAGCCCCAAGTGAGATCCCATCAAATCATATCTAAATGTTTCTCCAGTGCACTCATTTCATGATCTCAGTCTAGGCTCCTTCATCCCACCTGGATTTCTGTAATTGTCTATTCACTGGGCTTTCTTGCTCCCTTTAATTCACTTTCTGCACCCTAGGCCACGAGTAATCCAATATTCTTTCTAAAAGAGAGATGTGTTCATGGCACTCCTCTGATTCCAGTGGGTCCCTGTTGCTTTAGGAAAATATCCAAGCTCCTTCACCGAGCCTACCTGACCTCGCCCTGCCTACCCATCCACCCTTAGATCTGCAGTCCATTCATATTGAATCCCTTTCTGTTTCTTTAGTAGTAGTAGTGGTAGTAGCCCTGCTCAGGAATCTGTGCACCAGTAGCTCTCTGTGGGACCTGGCCACACTCCATACCCACTTCCCAGATTAATGATTTTCTCTCATCATTGATCTCTCTCTCTCTCTCTCTCTCTCTCTCTCTCTCTCTCTCTCTCTCTCTCTCTCTCTCTCTTTCTCTCTCTCTCCTGTCTTTCTCTATGAAATCAATAAAAATATATATTAAAAAAAAGAAAGTGCTGGCAATAGTAAAAGTTGGGATGGCAACCTCTTTATGGCATTTAAAACTGTTAGCAATCTCTCCCTGGAACGTTCCCTTCTGGCTTGAAGCTTCCTCTTCCCTTCAGGGAGCATGAGGTTCTTGTACATTCCTGATTTTCTAACATCTGATTATTCTTTGCTACTTTGCTGCTCCCTTACACCTCCTGTCCCTTAGATGAGGACATTTCCCCAGCATTCTCTTCCCATGTTTCTCCCCTTCCTTTCTCTCTCTCTCTTTCTCTTCCTTCCTCCATCTCCCTTCCCCCACTCCTCTCATTACTCCAGCAATCTCATCTCACCAGGAGGGTTAAAATCCGAATCTCTTGAGCCAGGTTTGATTAACCAAATAGAAGTTTCTCTGAGTAGGTGGTTCTCAGCCTTGACTGATGATTAAATTGCCTTGGGGGCTTTAAGATTCTGATGCCCAGGACATATCTGAACCAATTTAATCAGAATCTTTTGAAATGAGGCTTAGATATGGGATTTTAAACTGAGTTTTTACTTATACCCAAAACTATTTCTTTCCTAACTTCTCTACATCTATTAATGGAAGCACTATCTTTCCAAGCTGCTGGCTGAAAATTCTGAGAATTATCCTTGATATTTTCATTTGCATTTGTCTGCTACTTGCCAGTCAATCCATAGAACCTTCTGTTACTTCAAACAATGAATCTTAGGTATATCCCTCATTACTGATTGTACAGCTGTATCCCTCTTCAGGTTGTCTTATTTCCGATTTCTGTAACAGGCATTTTGGGTGAGCAGGAACTGATTTTGGACAGGAAGGATGAGGAACATAGATAGCCATTTCCTCTCCCAGCCCTTCACTCTCACCCCTCTTCAATATCCATGCTGGCTAGCCTGGGCCCCAA